TTATTTTAGATTCAGGGCGTGCATACTCAGGTTTGTTACCAGGGTATACTGCATGATGCTGAGGTTTTGGATACATATAATCCCATCACTGAGGTACTAAGCATAGTATGTAATCGTTTGTTTTTAAACCCATGTCCCATCCCTTCTTCTCCTTCTGGTAGCCCTCATAATCCACGGTTTCATCATTATATTGACGAGTACCCAATATAAGTACCCACTTATAACTAAGAGCGTATGGTGTATGGTTTTCTGTTTCTGCATTAATTCATTTAGGATAATGGCCTCAAGATGCATCCATGTTGCTGCAAAAGGACATGATTTCATTCTTCTCTATGACTGCACAGTGTTCCAATGATGTATGTGTACCATATTTTCTTTAACCAATCCACCATTGAGAGGCATCCAGGTTGATTCCATATTTTTGCTATTTTGAAAAGTGCTGCAAAGAAAACGAGAGTGTACGCCTTTTTGATGTAAATATTTGTTTTTCTTTTGGATATATACCAAGAACATACACCCAGTAATAGGGTTACTGGAAAATGGGAACTGTTTTCAGTTATTTGAGAAATCAACTGCTCGCCACAGTGGTTGAACTAATTTACAACCCCCTCAACAGTGTATACTCATTCCCTTTTCTTCACAACTTCACTACCATCTGTTATTTTTTTAACTTTTTAATAACAGTTAGTCTGTATGGTAATGATTGTATCTCATTGTGGTTTTGATTTTAATTTCTTTGATTAGTGGTATGGAACTTTTTTTTTGTTTGATGGCTGCTTTTCTTTGAGAAGGATCTGCTCCTGTTTTCTGCCCACTTTTTAACAGGGTTATTATCATTTCTTGCTTGTTGAATTGTTTAAGTTCCTTATAACTTCTGGATATTAGATGTTTGTTAAATGTATAGTTTGCAAATATTTTATCCCATTCTGTAGGGTGTCTGTTTATTCTGTTGATAGTTTCTTTTGCGGCTCCGAAGCTCCCACTTGTCAACTTTTGTTTTTCCTGCAATTGCTTTTGAAGACTTAGTCATCAATTCTTTCCCAAGGCCAATGTCCAGAATGGTATTTCCTAGGTTTTCTTCCAGGATTCTTATACTTTAAGGTCTTACGTTTAAATATTTAATCCATCTTGAGTTAATTTTTGTATATGGTGAAAGGTAAAATCCAGTTTCAATCTCCTGCATATGGCTAGCCAGCTATCCCAGCACCAATTATTGAATAATCATTTCCCCATTTGTTATTTTTGTTGACTTTGTCAAAAATCAGACAGCTGTAGGTGTGCTGGTTTAATCCTACAGTCTTCTCTATTCTGTATTATTGCTGTACCACAGACTTTTTTTAAGCCCAGCTTAATTTTTGACTCTATTCACTTTGGTTTTTCCTCTCTACAGTATCATATGATATTTTTTTAAAAAAAGTTTGGTATTTCTGTCTTTATATTTACAAATATTTAAAGTTATTAAAAGAAATTATCCTTAGTCCAGATAACCAGTGATCAGGAGAGCAGGTATAAGAAGTAACCTAACAAACCATAAGTTATTGGTCAATTGGAATTCATAAAGGGAGATTTCTTCAAGTGGTCAGGAAGCCAAGGAAGAAAAAGCAAATAGATATGATAGCATAACTTGTTGATTAAGTCTTTAAAAGAGCTTTTCACATATCTTTCTTTTCTTTTTTTTTTTTTTTTTTTTTTTTAAGACAGATTCTCACACCATCACCCAGACTGTAGTGCAGTGGCCCGATCCCGGCTCACTACAACCTCTACCTCCTGGGTTCAAATGCTTATCCTGCCTCGTTCTCCTGAGTAGCTGGGATTACAGGTGTCTGCTACTACCACGCCCAGCTTTTTTTTTTTTTTTTTTGTATTTTTAGTAGAGACAGGGTTTCACCATGTTGGCCAGGCTGGTTTTGAACTCCTTGACCTCGTGATTCTCCAGCCTTGGCCTCCCAAAGTCCTGGGATTACAGGTGTAAGCACCACACCCAGCCAATTCACAAATCTTTCATTGGAATAAATAGTTTCATTTAAAATATCAGATGAAATCATGCAGGAAATAATAGAAAAAGTTGCAATGCATACCCATATACACTTCACCTAGCCAACTGGTAACAAGGTGCCACATTTGCATCACATGATCCATTGTTGTCTTTCTTTACACACACATATACCCTATAAACATAGGTGGTAGCCATCTTGTAGTGGCAGTTAGTGGTGGTTATCTTATAGTGTTTTAATCAATTTGCATTTTATGCATTTCTAATGACATGCCATTATTAACTTATGAATTCTAAACCCAAAGAAGTTTTCTTTACACACTCCATTTAATTGTGTTTGTATTTTGTAAATATTTAAACAAGATTATCAACTAAGGAAAAATTTGAAGCATTCCATATGTTCAGTAATAAAACAATGATTTCGTAAATTATGATACATGAATGTGGTGAAATTTTTAGAGTTTAAAATACACCATAGGTAGACTCAAATAAAAAATAAGAAGAACATATGAGAATGGCACATAAAGTATATTATCAGCTTTACAAATTTCAACATGTGCTGTGACAAGCCTCAAACCATCAGATAAGAAATTGAAAATAAGAATAATTAATTACACATACACACACAAACATGTACACACACTGCAAAACAGCTACCTAATTTATATGGTTTAGAAAAAAACTTTCAACATAAGCATGGCCCTACAAATACCCTATCCTGGCTACACATTTGCCACTATGTATCTTTTAATTTTGAAAAGAAGATATAGGAATAGGATTATTTTTCTTTTTCATGACATTTAAGACTACATTTGGTTGCTACATTTTGATTGCATTGTCCTTCTGTAATTTATTGCTTCCTTGGGCTCTTGTTCTTTTTGTAACTGCTAATTGCCTAATGAATTAATCTCATTCATGCCTTGCTTTCAATTGCCTTGTTTCCTAGCAAACTGCGTATATTCCACTTTGCTTGAATCAGCTCTCTACCATCTTTTCACCATTTGATTTTTCTGTTTTAGCCACTTTAGCAGTAGTTATTTTAGAATTGCCGTAACTAAATTTGTTCGTTATTGAATATTGAGGGTGAATAATAGAGAAGTTTAGACAGGATAATTGTGAGAAGACTTAAATTCATTTCTTGAAAAGTTTGAAGGAAAGCTATTGTTTTTTTATATGGAAAGTTGAAGGTATGCCATTGATCTGAATCAATTTTTTGATATGTATGCTAGCGTTAGAAGAATGCTTTGACAATATGTATTTATAAAATAGAGTTAAATGCTAATTTTTCCAAATGGACTAATATAGACCTATCAAAATTACTAAATAATAACTCTGAGGCATTGTGAATAAAGTACTGTTTTTGTTTACTAGGCCTGACATAACAAAATACTACAGACTGGGTGGCTTGTCCAACAGGAATTTATTTTCTCATAGTTCTGCAGGTTAGTAGTCCAAGATCAAGATGTTGGTAGGTTTGGTTTCTCTGGAACCTTTCACTTTGGCTTGCAGATTGCTGCCTTCACTCTGCGTCTTCATGTGGGCCTTACTCTGTGTTTATGTATCCCTGGTGTCTCTTCCTCTTTTTGTAAGGATACCAGTCATATTGGATGAGGGCCCCACCCTTAAGGTCTCATTTAACCTGAGTTACCTCTTTGAAAGCCTTATCTTCAAATGTAGTCACATTAGGGGTTAAGGCATCAACACAGGACTTTTGGAAGGAAACACTTTAGTTCAAAACAAGTACATGTTAATTAATTTGAATTCAGAACAGATTATATTTTAAAATATTTTATTTGCTTTGAAAGGTCTGAGGCCCTTAAACACAAGAAACTTAAGTTTACACTGTGTTATGGGCTGAATTGTATTCCCCAAAATTCACATGTTGAAGCTGTAATCCCCAGCACTTCAGAATGAGACTATAGCTGGAGTGCTAAATTAGGTAAGATTGAGGCCATTCACCAGGGTTGTCTCTGTACTTTGAGTTCCTAAATAACAAACTGCAACCTGACTAGTATGTAAATAAGCTGAACACTAATTTAGAAGTATAATACACAGCTAAGTTTTAGCCAATTACAGGCAGCCAGCTCATCATACCATGCCCATAGAAGGTAGATGCCTTGCTGTAGCCAATCTGGTGAGTCATCACTTTGATTTCTGTGTTCAGCCTATAAAAAGCTCCACGTTCACTGCTGCTGGGCAAAGCTTCCTGAACAACTTCTGGTTTCGAGTGCTGCCTGATTCATGAATCATTATCTCTTCAAATAAAGTCTGCCAAATTTAATTAGTCCAGTTTTCCTTTGAACAGGAGAAAAGGCCTTTAAAAAGGTAATTAAGTTAAAATGGGGCTACGAGTATGATGCCTATCCAATTTGATGGGTGTCCTTACTGGACATACAAAGAGACACCAGATAAGTGCGTGCACAGGTAGATGACCATATGAACAGGCAGCAAGAAGGCAGCCCTCTGCAAGCCAAGGAGAAAGGCCACAGAGGAAACCAACCCTGCTGGCATCTTGATCTTAGAACTCCAGCCTCCACAACTGTGAGAAAACAATTTCTGCTGTTTAACCTACCCAGTTGTGGTATTTTGTTATGGCCACCCAGAAAACTAATACACACTGATTACATCTACAGGAATAGAAGTCAATGCAGAATATTTTAATAAGCAACACACAGCTTTTATCTTCTTTCATACTCAGTGAACCACACTGTATGCATCTCTTTCACATCTCCTGAAAAAAAATTCCCAAATACAAGTCCAAACACTGTTGAATACACTTAGCATAAATTATTAATATTATATCCCAAACAAGCTGAAGAACAGATCACTTATAATGAAATTCCAAAAGTTGTTTTCACTTCTAAAAATCCTATAGTTTCAATTTGTCCTTAACTCAGAACGAAACAGTTCAGGGTTGCAAAAAAATTTTAAATATTTGTGAAAATAGAAATATAATTGCAATTAATTAAAGATTAGAATGTCTCTAGCATTCAAAAATAAGCCTTACCTTTGTTTTGGGTTCTAGAATTTTTACTCCATAAATTGATATTTGCAACTCCACTTTAGGAATTTTCTGACCTTCAGATTTCTTGATATGTCTTGCAAACTGCAAATGAAAAATTATTCACAAAACTACAATTCTATCTCTATAAATAATGAACACAAATAAATATACATTTGGAGTTCATATTCAATTTCAGACTTTAAGTGAATGTTTGCCAATCATCAAGCATTCTGTAAAGATAGTCTCAAAATATTAAAAAATAATAGCGATCAGCTATTATAATTCACATTGATTTTTAGCAAGTTTTTAAAATTATTATTTTTAATGCACTTATTTCATGGTATTTACAGAAATGTGTTCATACCAGACAACTGAGAAAACTCAAAATACTTTGTGGGAAGATATGCCGAGATCAGTTTGTTTTTCTGTGAATCTTTGTTTTTATTATCTTCAGAGAATTTGCAGTTCATCAGCTATTAAATAAGCCCTCTTTGCCATTTCTAGATATTTACCCAGTTTGGAGCACTATTCTATGCAACCACATCAATAAACAAAAAGAAGCTGATTACCATATCCAAACTGAAGTGAAAAACTGAATTAATTATCGCAGCTAAAAGACTCAGGTATAGAACTAGACTCAGTCTAGAACTATAAATATTGTGAGTATCTTGAAAGCACAACTTTTCTGAAAACATTTGTAATAGTATATAAAGTACTTTCTCATTGAGTTAGTAGGTGTATGTAAATGCTTGTTCAGTTCTGTTATAAAATCAAAAAGAAAATCAGAATACTCATGTGCTTAGCAGATGGAGTGTCCGTCTCTCTACTAGTATTGCTTAACTTAGTGGGGGAAAATTTCAGGAGCCCAGTTAAACATGAAAGTTAAACAATTAATATTATTTTTAAAAACTTTAATTTTAAAATACAGGCACAAACACAACATATATATATATTATTTAGCATACATATAGCCCATGCAATATTTGGAACATATTAATACTAAAAAATATTTGTAAGAAATTCAAAGGTTACTGGGCATCTTGATTTTATTTGGCAATTTTACTCTCTCCCTACATTCCTTCTCTCCTCTGCAACCACGCCAACCACCCAACTTTTTAAGAAATGGCAAGAAAACTAATAGAAGAAAGAATTCCTTGCCCCTCTTCTAGGGCTTCAAAAAGTTATTTCCTAGTGTGCCTTTTTTTCTCTAAGGATACAGATCATCTTAACTTGACTCAAAATTGATGACATGTAATGCAAGACAGCATTTCAGTCCTCTTGTATGTCATAGTTACTTGCACTGTGTATTTCACTGTAATTTAGGGCAGATGTGAATACACACGGTATAGCTCTATCCTGGAGCACAAAGTCTGTTTTTCTTTTCATGGCTTTGCACGGCCACAGAGAATACTATAATAAATACATATATGAATGCCTTTAAGTGTCTGCCTTCCTATCCCAAGGGGTACCATTTGTTTTATTCCATTTTGGGTGGTATAAATTTTCAGCTTGCTGTCTGTTTTGCTCTGTGAACTTGGATTGCTTTTTTTGGTATATAGCAGTCTTCTTGCTACACATGATACAACTAACTTGTGCCAGATAATTTTCTTTTTTGTCTTTAAGAAATTGCCAGTTAATTTTCTTTTTTATCTTTAAGAAATTTATTTTGCTTGAGTGTACATCTTTAAAAATTATCTCCGCTCTCTCCCAAAGAATGTGAATTAATTTTATTTTTCCTTCATAATCTCTTTCTATCAGCATAGTTAAGCAATTTGAAGGTTTTCACATAGGAAGGCTTACAAAATAAGTCAGCTGCTCTCCACCTACGTGAATGCATCTGGATAAAGCAACTCCCATTGTCGGCTGCAGAGGCACTCTCAGCTTGTCTCCTAGGTACTGCTGTTTTCCAGAAACAGACTAAGCATGGCTTCTGAAGCTCCTTCCACATCTAGACTCAACTATATTCCTGTGACCTCTGACAAGCACTGTGCACCCTTTTCAATTTCCCCCGCTAAAATGTCTACCACAAAACAACCACTATTATTAAACTTATCTATGGAGAATGGAAGAAAAAATGGAAGAACTAAAGAAAGGAAGTAGGGGGTGAGGTAGAAAAACAAAGAGGAGCAGAAAGAAGGGAGTGAGGAGGAGGAAAGGGAGGGGGGAAGAAGGAGAGAGTAAGAGAAAGAAAAACAAAAATAAGCACAATATTTCTTATCTAGGTTTTCTAAAACTTTTCTGTCTGCCTCATAACAGGATGAAGTAATTGTGCTCAAAATAGCTTCAGATTCATGCAATCGCATCTTCTTATTTCAAAGACGGGAAATGTAAGTCCCAGATAAGCTATGTACCTTGGTCATAAAATGGGTTTGTAGAAATTAGGCCTAGTAACTAGATTTGCAAATATTCACTAAATAATCTTTTTCTTTCATACAACATATTTGCTGCATTTAGAACAGAAAATTCCCAGTTCTATTTTCATGCATATCAAGGTTCATACTGGCTATTGGCCTTGATTTTTGAATATACATTACACAACTCTCAGGCCTAAGATTATATTCATTCAATCTGTATTTTACTCAGTTTAATATTCTCCTTCCTGCCTTTTTTTTCTAAACTTAAGCTAACTGTAACCTATAGTTTGCATGCTCCCCTCTAAGTGCCTTTTCCTACTTATAGACCTCTTGCTCTCCTAATATTTCTAATTAATCTTATGAAGATATGCTGATCAATCTTCATAAGATTGTATTCTATTTTCTCCCTATTTACTATTTTAATGGTAATGCTTGAAAAGAGTCTTTTTCACAAATTTCTTTCAATGTTTGCTTCAGTGAATTTACTTCTTGGTAGAGCTAGATGGATAAAGTGATCTGCCATTAAAACTTGAATATAATAATCCAATAAAAATTATTCAAAGGAAGTGATGCATAAGCATTTTGGAGAATGACTGGATACAACAAACAAAATCAAGCCTTTTTCATCAAAAAATGATGGGGAAGGATGGAGTAATACTTGAAATATATAAAACATTTCATTAAATATATACCACTGATAAATGGAACTGTTAAGGAAAATTTAAAGGGAGCACAACCGAGTTTCAATATTATCATCACACAATTTCTATCCATTTCTCAGAGGACTTTTTAAAAAGTGAAATTAACTATACTACTAATGGAATATATAGTATTAGGCAATAAAATTAATTTACTACTTTAGACCTATTATTTGGAGCTACTATTCATCTTTGGGGTTTTCATGCTTATATTTTCAATCTAAAGCATTCCCAATAATCCTGGGGAAAATGAGCTATGTTTATATATAATTAAATTAAGCTTTAAATGTTTTATTAATTAGATAACTGATTGTGAAGACAAAAATAGTGTTATACAACATAGACAGAGTGAGTTCAAATGGAGAATCTACTTGGCTGGGGCTTTGCAAGTCTTGACAGCAATTCCCAAAGGCTACATTTTCATGCAGTAATTTCATGTATTTTTAATTTAGTTGCATTGGAGTGAGGGGATCTTCACTCTAAAACTGTGTTCCATGAATGCTGCCCCCTGGATATCTCCCAGAATAATTGATAAGCTTTGAATCTATATATCAATACTTACTTACATGTAAACATCATGAATTATTTATGAAATACATTGAGTCCCCAACATTTGTATTAGTTATATTAATAAAAATATATAAATCACTATTAAAAATAAAATTAATTCGAATAACAATGTTATTCAATACATAGACGTTGAAAGGGTTTAAAATTACTGCATTTTAGAAAACTTGGTATTTTCTTAAATCTCAGGCTAAAACGTGATTAAGAAATAGAAACGGTGGAACATGATTATGAAATAAAAGAACATGTTTTGATAAATATAGTATCTGAGTATCTGAACCCTAAAAGGTCAGTACTTATAAAAACTACTATATTTATTTAAAAATATATAAACTGTAAATTCTCTGTAAAATGACAGTGAGATAGAGTGTAAAAAATCAAAGTTTTAAAATTTTTTGAAAACTAAGCAGGCATCATTAAACACAGAAACATGAAAAATTTATTATTAAAAATTCTTTAATTTTTCCATTAGCATTTATTCTTAAATTTTAAATTCATTTTTAATGTCAGAAGCTATTACATTAATATTGCTGAAAAAGTAGTAAATATAAATAAAATGTTACCTTATATGGCAAATAAAATCACATACTGAATTATACAGATTTTTTAAAAAGCAGTCAGAGTTCATACGTTTAAGAAAAATAAGCAGGAACTTAAAATGGAGATGTGTATGTATGATAAATGAACATTTCTTTTTTTCTTTTTTTAGTAGAGCCACACCACCACCTTCTGGTCATTTCTGCACAACACCAAAATTTAGAAAGGGCCAGGCCTAACACGTAAAAAATATTCTTGGTATACTTTGAATTGTAGCTTTTGACCCTTGGCACAAAGAAATAAAAAATAAAATAAAATAAAAACAGATTAAAAAGCTTTGTTTTATTTATTATCATTACTGTATAAATCATTACCCTTAGGTATACTTTCCTGATATAGAAAATGTTTTCAATCAGCACAGTAAAGATTGCTTATTAAATACACACCTATTTTGGAAGACATTTGAGAAACGATGGCTACTATAAACTAAGTGTGCATTTTTAAACTATACTACATAACTTTTTATCTTATTGTAAGTCACATTCTTTTATTAACAGAGTACATTTCTAAACATGAAACTCGATAGAAATACATATAAAATCCTGCCAAAATATATGTAAACTAGACATTGTTTAGAAAGCATTTGATTTCAAATATATCTTTACATTTGATCTATTCATTATTGGATGGAATCTTTTTGGTTTTTGATTTGGGCTGACTGAATAAAGAACCTCCTAGGCATAAAGAAATACTATGTGTAAATAGCATTGTTCTTTCATAAAACATTCTGATTGTAGTGAAGTTGGATTCATGCCCAGAATTTGCAACATTTTGAAATTATTTAAACAGAATACTATTCTAATGCTGTCCATAAACTTCGAGGCCTTTTAAATCCGCTTTTAGAATGATTAAAAATGTTGACCAATAAAAGGCAAGTCTTAATTATTACCTAACGAATGGTGAAAATAAATAGTTGGCCAATCCACTTTTTTCCCAAATGCAGCAATATTATCTTGGGAGTTTAGTATATTTACTTAAAAGGATTAGTAAAATATTCTCATATAAAATAAAATGAATAAAATATTATTGACCTTTATTTTTTTACCCAGAATAGAAGCCACACCAATTAAATTATTCCTCAAGTTAAACACAGAGTAGATTCCACCAGATATGACATTCTCAAAGCAAAGTAAAAGCATTTAACGTCTCTGACTTTGCCTGGCAGAATCAGAGGTCTAACCCTCCTTTAGAATAACTGGATGGTCCCTAAACCAAATAAAGTTAGAGAATGGTTGTTTCTCCAAAAATGTGAGAGCAACTATAGAGAATAACATTAATTGTGTAAAAGAAATAAGTAGTGGTATGTATATTTTCTTATATGATAAAGCTGAGAATTCTGTTGAAGGAGGTTTATAAATTTTCAAGTCTCAGTGACAACAATGTCTTTTGAGATGTGGAACAATTAGAAAAACATACTATGTGGCATCTTATGTAAGATTTTCTCAGGAAACTTGTTGACTAGGATATGTGGGGTTGCTTATTAAATGTCCTTCTCTTCTCTCAGTCTCACCTGTTCCCCCATGGCTACTTATGGACATTGCTAGTTCTTTCTGGATTTGTTGATTAGGACATCTGTAATATACAGTGTCATTTCAAAATTCTGCCTGGAGTCAACACTAACTCCACATCTTTAACTGGTAGATATATCCTAGCTTTTAAAGATAGTTGTTATACCATTACCAGCTTGATTTGGGACATAAGTTCACATTATCCAAGCAAAGTAAAGGCAAGCTACTAAACATCAACACTCAAGGCAAACTGCCATAAAATATTATTTTTAGGCCAGGCGCGGTGGCTCATGCCTGTAATCCCAGCACTTTGGGAGGCTGAGTAGGTGGATCACCTGATGTCAGGAGTTTGAGACCAACCCGGCCAACATGATGAAACTTCATCTCTACTAAAAATACAAAAATCAGTCGAGCACGGTAGCAGGTGCCTGTAATCCCAGCTACTCTGGTGGCTGAGGCAGGAGAATCACTTGAACCTGGGAGAAGGAGGTTTCAGTGAGCCAAGATTGCACCATTGCACTCCAGCCTCGGTGACAAGAGCAAAACTCCATCTCAAATTAAAAAAAAAAAAAAAAAAAAAATATATATATATATATATATATAATTTTTAAATGACACATTATATCTTAGAAAAATATGAACAGGATGCCATATTTTAAAAACAATTTTGTATACATACGTATTATTAAAAATATTTTCTTGATATGATCACATTTGCTCAATAGTTCATTTTTAATAGAGTGAAGCTATGTCTGTGATAAAACTACTCATGCTTTGATCTCCACCAGTCTACTGACAACATGACAGAGTCAATACACTTGTAATTTATTTAAAGGGCTTTCCCTACCTTTAGTTTCCTTACAGCATCTCTCACAACTTCTGTTCCTTTTGGCTGTTCCACTTCTGTACTGCCAAGAAACTGAAAATGGTCATTTGTGAGACACAGGTTTTACTACATCGTATATCACTGAATCATGTTAAACTATAAGACTGCATAATAGAATGGTTTAATAGTAATTTAAACTCATATCTTAAATATAATTATTATTTAGATTATACGAAAATATAAATATACTACTTTATAATTTATACTTCCTGTTAATCAAAAATTATTTTTTAAAACTTTTTTTCTAAATATTTTACTTGCAGATTTTTACTGGAAAGAAAACTAAAGTTATTTTATTAGGCCCAAAGGAATAATGTTGATCTCAACAGTTAAAATTTAGTAAACTTATTAAGTAATTAAAAATTATTTTTCCTTCAAAGCATGTAATTGTATTTTGTTACTATATTTAACATCAACAGTATATTTCACAGTTCATAATTTCAAGTAAACATTTTTCTGTTTTCCACTTATGAGACTCATCTAACATGTAGAATTTAAAATACAAGGATCTTTTAATAGCCAATATATACAACTAAGTAAAGCTATAGGTAGACTAATGAAATAAAACATACATGATCTACAATTTTACTGTTTTAAATAACCCTGAAGGTAGTCAGTAGGTGATATGGTTTGGCTGTGTCCCCACCAAATATCACCTTGAATTGTAGCTCCTATAACTCTATGTGTTATGGGAAGAACCTGATGGGAAGTAATTGAATCACAAGGGTGGGTCTTTCCCAGGCTGTTCTCATGATAGTAGGAGATCTGATGGTTTTATAAAGAGAAGTTACCCTACATAAGTTCTCTTGCCTGCTGCCATGAAAGACATGACTTTGCTCTTCCTTTGTCTTCTACCATGATTGTAAGTTTGCTGAGGCCTCCCCAGCCCTGTGGAACTGTGAGTCAATTAAACCTCTTTTCTTTATTAATTAGTCAGTCTCAGGTATGCCTCAGGTATTAGCAGCATGAGAACAGACTAATACAGTAAATATATTTAGTTAAAACCTGACCAATACATAAATTGAAAAAAGTTTCATAATAATTATCACACTGTAATGAGATCTCTACCTTGGAGAGACATAATACCTCCTAAACAGAAGTCTAATGTCATTAAATGTACAATACCAAGTAGAACTGAAATATAGAGGTTTTATTTTAGAAAACATTGCTATAGACAGAGCAAATCAACATTAAATTCAAGAAGCATATATAATTTTCCAAAGCCTTTTTTTTTTTTTTTTTTTTTTTGTAACATACCACCAATTGTAAGACCAAGAGATTCAGGAATTAATCACTTCTCCTATGTATAGACATAGGTGTCAATATGTGTTTGTAAACTTTACATAAAGATACCATAAGTGGAATCTTTTTCATATATTAACTTACAGAATAGAAGGGAAAAAACAGTAAAGTCATGCTATCTCTTATTCCTTCCTTCATTTTTGAACAACAGCAACAGCAAAAAACAACCACTAAAGAAATTAGAGTTTTGATTTTTAAAATCAGCTTTCTGCACAACTGTCATGAGAATTACCTAGGGAGCTGCTTAAAATGTAAAAAGACATGTTTCTTTGTCAAATCAGAATCTTTAGAGGTAGGGTAAGGGAATTATATTTCTAGAAGCATTGCAAGTGACTCCTTGTACCGAAGTCCAAAGAACAGGGTTAGAAACAGTTAACAGGCCATGTGGATAGTGGAAGGTAGGTACCAAGGTGAACTGAAAATACAGGCTCTAACTGCTGTTCTGTGTCTGGTTAGCTCATGGAGGATAGAGAGTAAAGCACTATTTGTACTGAGGAAAAGAGAAGTTTCAATTTTCAGATTCTGTAAGGTACAACAGTTCCTTTTTTTTTTTTTCTTTTTGGAGACGGGCATTTTTCTCTGTTGCCAGGCCAAATTGCAATGGTACAATCTCCTCTCAACTGCAACTTCCAACTCATTGGTTCAAGTGATTCTCCTGCCTCAACCTCCCAAGTAGCTGGGATTATAGGCATGCGCCACCACACCCAACTAATATCTGTATTTTTAGTAGAGACAGGATTTCACCATGTTGGCCAGGATGGTCTTGATCTCCTGACCTCGTGATCTGCCTGCCTCAGGCTCACAAAGTGCTGGGATTAGAGGCCTGAGCCACCACACCCAGCCAACAGCTCCTTTTTCTGATACTCTTGAACTATGTATACCAAACTAACAGGCCTTGGATAAGATACCAACAGGCTTTCAGTTTGCCCCACTGTGACCTCAAGTTGTTGGTTGACCAAGCATACATAAAAGACTAAAGTGAATGAGAAATTTTAAGCTGAAAAGGAAATGAAATCCTGCTACCAAGATTGGGAGACAGCAAAATCTACTCCTGACACCAATGGACCTGTCACATTTCTCCAGTTTTGGATGAGTGTTTTCAACCTTGATTCCATGATAGAATCACAGGGGGCAATTTAGCCAGGTGCAGTGGTTAGAAAATCTATATGCATTGGTTAGTCCCAGCTACTCAGGTGTTTGAGGCAAGAGATCTGTCTAAGCCCAGAGTTTGGGGCCAGCCTGAGCAACGCAATGAGATCCTTTCTCAATTAAAAAAGATAGATAATGAATCACATTGGAAGCTGTAAACTTATTACCAATGCCTGCAAGTCTGATTTGACTAGTCTACGGCAGAATCAAGACAACATCTATATATTTTAAAACTCCCTAAGTGATATTAATGTGCCACCAAGTTTGAAAAGCACCATTTCAGATCATCCAGAAAGGAAGAAGAGTTCAAATAACTGAAGGAGATTTAACATAATAGTAGCTATTTAGTTCGGAATACATCCCTGGGGTAAACTGTTCTCAACTTATCTGAATTTATCATATCACTGAGGGATTCATGATTAGTGGGTGGTCTAGGATTAGCAGGAGCAGAGAAGCAAAGGTGGATCCTTTATAGGTATGTAATTCTTGAACTAGAGGAAGGCAGGGTCAATAATAGACTGTAAGTGTTACTGGCAATATTTCTGGAGGAATATTCATACTTCAGCAGAAATGTCGTGAGTCAAAAGCATTATATGCAAATAAAGCCATGGGGAAAAGTATGGAAGAACTCCAAGTATATTCAAAATGAATAAACCTCTCACTGTGCTCCAGGAACCTTTTAACATGTTTCTTTCACACTAGCTTTAATTAAATCCTTTGAGTAATGCAACACTGGGAGAAGCCTTGAGTGATGGCGGGAATTAAATTAAAATATATCTTAATATGGAGTTCGCTATTTAACCCAACTTTTTCTTAGGTAATATTAAAAAACTTATATGACAATCATTTTTAAACTAAAAAATAGTTTATTCCTTATAATACATTTTGTATTTTTTAAATTATAAAATATCACGATACACAGGTTAAATAATTCATATTTATATGCATTTCTCATGCCTATCTAAAATATTTATAAAACTCTAAGATATGAAGTAGCAGGCTAGAACAAGCTCTAAATTTAGAAGCTGAAGATGTTAGAAAAGTCCCCCAATTTCTGCCTTGTCTTACTCTTTTTAAAGATAAGGATAATAATGCTGTTCTTCTCTCCTTATAAAATCATTCTGAAGAGCAATTACAATAAGAGATGAAGAAAAGGAAACCTCTTTAAACTGCAAGGTGTTTATGAGGGATTGCCATTCCTTTGTCAAATTATTGTGAGGGGAAGATACTAGGGTTTAGTGGACACAACTGGTGCCTGCTCAGTTCTCCTGGGATCCGCTTTATCAACTCAGGCACTCATCTTCCAGCTTCCACATGCTTTGCTGGTAATGACTCACACTCAAGACCTCCAGAGTATTCCCTTTGGGCAATGAAGTCAAAGTCACCTTGCCAGTATTGAGAGCTAGAAGCATATGGGAGTTTTTTATCCCCCATACCCTCACCGCCCATCATCACACTCCTTAGCCAATGACTGACTTGGCTTCTTTGTTTGGAGGTGAGGTAAGCACTAAGTATAATATTATGATGCAGAGTTTACCATGGAATTAGGCTAATGCTGAGGCTTCAGCTGATATGTATTCTTCCTTCATTTCTTCTTCTTGTTGGCTCTGCTGTTCCTACTCATTTACTGATTTCTCTTGGGAGTACTCACTTAATAAATCATATGCACTTAAATCTTTTGCCTTGGGGTTTAGTTCTTGGAAACACTTGCCTAAGACGCTGGGTAAAGGCTTACATGCTTACATTCCAGGGACATACAGTCTGGTATATAAACCCATAAATCACTGTCCTAAGTGCCATCAAAAGGCTTGTACAGAGGAAACAAACTTTGATTTTTATCTTTTCCACTCTGCCTGATTCCTGGAGGATGAAACCAGAAAAATGGAATCATGCCCTGACTAGGGAATTAATATACTCTATTCCAACAGAAGAGTTGTTAACTAGCTGAAGAATTAGGCTTGGGAGCTCTAGGCTGCAAAATTCCAGGCATGGCTGGGAGCAGAAGTGAGGCACCTAAGCGACAAAGATACTAAGCAGAAGTCCACATGCAGAATTGAAAGATCCCTAGACTCCTTTCTCAGCTTGGCTCTCAGGATACTAGCTGCTAATCTTATAAGTCTCCAAGCAAAAGAATTTTTCCCTGGAGAAAACAGCCCAAGAAAAACAAGACAACCTATGCTGACAGTTAAAATTTCCAAGTGAAATAGGTGTGTCACCTGATCAGTCAGTGGATGACAAGCCCTGCTCAAATACACAGAGCAGCCAGTTGGCTTTTGAGTGACTTAGTCTTAAATATCAAAACACAGCAAATATGTGAATATATTAGAGAAAAGTTTCACATGAAAAGTAGAGGAAAAGCAAGATGAAAAAAGATGGCTAATGCTCTACAATCAGTACAAATATACTGCATTCATAATAAAAACAAGATGCTAGAAAAAGTAGCACATATAGAATGAAAGAGAGTTGGCACTTAGAAACATGGCTCAGGCAATTAAAAAATAATAATATTAAAAGATAAAGTTGGAAAAAATTACAAGAAGTAATTATTAAATGCTTACTGTTTTTCAGGTCATATTTTAGGA